AATAAGACTTATTCGGTGAATCCCTAGATCCATCAGTAACCACAGTTAACAGTGTATTTGCGAAGAGGGCGTTCATGCCAAGTACAGCAAATAAAACTACAGGTTACTAAATCGCCTGGTTCGGAGGATTGCCTCAAAACGGCTTTAAATGGACTCAGTACCAACAGCCTCCAAAATCTATAAAATCGCGGTGGAGGTTGAGGCCCTGTGTAGGGATCGCATGCAACCCAAGATAGGCCCAAATTTAAAAAATAAAACAAAAACTGGGACATACTCGCTAGTCTCACAAGCACTTCGAAGTACCTTAACGTTGCAGAACTTTCCTAAGTGTTTCGGCTGTTTTTTCGAGTAAAAAGATATGGAGTTTACCTATGGATGCCATTGTTGTGTCCGTTCCAGACACCGAAAAATTTCGGAGAATATGAACCGACTAATATTCAGGCACGAAACGGGAAAACAAATCATAAGGAGTGTTGCCATTTAGGTCGCTTGTTGTAGCAAGGGGGTAACAATATTTTCAAACGGATTTGCCCTGTCCAAATTTCATATTGCAGAAGCGAATGAATGAAGACCCGCATTCTGTTCAAAATTGTCCTTATATATGTATATGCGAAACTTTCAAAGGACAAAGGGAATATAGGGCGCCCTTTTGTTTGCCCTGACATATTGGAAAAAGGGACTCGAAGATAATAAAATGATGATAACGAAGACCTTTTGTCCAGATACATTCGCTTGGATACTTCCGTTGGAAAGGCATTGAGGAGGTTTGCCTTTACTGACGACTTCCTAATCTTGAGCCTCAGTGCTGGGCATTTCTCAAAGTTAAATTTAAGTAAGCTTCTATCAGACTGCTGGCATAAACGGTTTGATATTTTCTTTGCGCTCCGATTATGATTATTGTATTCGATAGTTTGCCATACCTTGATGCCATTTGCAAATACGATTTGTTGAAATCTGTCCTGTTATACATCCAGAGAAACGCGTAAAAGATGATGAGGCACGAGGACGGATTTCTGGGACACTCAACTCCTAATGTCCATTGATATTGATTCCTTACTTCCTATGCACACAGGCTGCGAATAGCCTATCAAGAAATCCCGTATCTAACTCAACGAAATCCCCAATGTGCCAAATTCCCGAACTTTGGGATTAACTGCCAATGTGCAGGAATACCGTGTTGAAAACCGGCAAGTGTGTCACTCATTTCAAAAAGATAATGACTGCTTTTTCACGACTCTTCGCATAACTGCAACAAATACCCGTCAGGCTGACTAGCCTATATTAGCTTACAGTTGTCCTGGACCCACCCTTGTAAATGCGGTCTATGTCCGCCGACTTCGATGAGAGGAGTGGCTTACTCAATCAAAGAGCAGCCTGAAAATAAGCAAAAAACAGACTGGAGAATTCGCAAGTAGGCACATTCAACAATTCTTGCTGACATTTTGGCTGGATACAGACACTTCGTTATTTACAAGACGCTCCATTATACATCTTCTAAGAGGCCAACGTTTCGCATGACTGAAGGCGAAATTTCGAGTTTCAGGTGTATGCATAAGTGAAGAAGAAGAGTCGAGCACCGGAACACTTCGTTTATTATCCTGAGCTTTCAGATGCGCTTCGGACAGCTCGCATCTGGAAGTTATTCTCTACACGAGAGGCAGCAACATACGAACAGTTACGTTTTCTGCACCGATGTCTCCAAGACGAAATAATCCCACGATGCCTGAAATATAAAGTTCCCGTTAATACGGCCATGGGAAGAGAAGTTGTGAGGCGGTTTGTCAAACAGATGACAAGAGTTCTGATCGACGACTGTCACCGGCGTTTGCAGAAGTACAAGGCTGAGATCGAGGAGAACAGATCGCAGTGTGTCCACACTCTCGGCGATTCTATCGCCGCAGATCTTGGGAAGACGATCTCTGCTCCGGCACACCACAGGCAAGCCAAGAATAGAGAAGTTTTTGAACGGAAACTGACTAAGCTAAAACCACCAGGCACAGAAAGCTCAAACTTGGTCCACAACTTCTCGTCTAAGCAGCTAACAAAGCAGCAACTACGAGTGTTACAGCATGAAACTTGTTTCAACACTGCAGATGCCGATCCTGTCGACTTCATTGCGGCCTTGAAAGCTATGCTTGTGAGAAGTGAAACATCCGACGACATGAAACACTCCGTCCGACAGCGTGCTACCTCTTTGCTGATGAAACACAGACCAACCAAATGTATTTCGCAGAGTGAGTCAAAGGCTATGAGGGAACTGAGGAGAGACGAAAGCATTATCATTCCACCTGCTGACATGGGACGATCAACCGTCGTGATGAATACAGAAGACTATAATGAAAGGGCTAGAGCCCTTCTTGATGACAGAGAATTTTATAGGGCAGCACAGAAGTCACAAGCCAAAGCAGTGGCAGATCGGCTGTGTAAACTGCTTAGAGAATACCGACATAAAAATGTGATCACGGAGAATGAATGGCACCAAATGAGGGCAACTGACACCGCTCTAGCCGGATTCTATGGCCTGCCAAAAATCCATAAAGCAAATGCCCTACTTCGGCCAATCGTTGCCCTAAAAGGCAGCTCCATCTACAATTTGGCAAAGTGGATGTACTCACAACTGAAGTTCCTTCAAGGCAATTCGACTAACTCACTTTGATCAGCCTCTCAATTCCTCATAGACCTCTGAGGTCGGAGAATTCAATCGGACGAAATCATGGTGTCCTTCGATGTGACGTCGTTATTCACATCCATCCCACCAAACGTGGCCCGCGAAGTCTTGCGCAAGAGACTTGAAGAGGCGTACGATGAAACTCAGAATGCCCTCAAAACTGAACAGCTCATGAGACTGTTTGAATTCTGCCAACAACCTTTCTTCACTTTTGCGGGAGAGACCGCTGAACAAATCAAGGGAACCCCAATGGGCTCACGGGTCTCCGGTTTGGTGGCAGAACTGGTCCTACAGGAGTTAGAAAAGATTGCCTTCCTCCAACACGAACCGGTGATTTGGCGCCGTTACGTAGACGACAAGTTCGAAGGACATGCTGCAGCATTTCCACAGCTTGCTCAACGCACTTTTCCCGGATATAAAATTCACGAGGGAAGAAGAACAGGAACAGCAGTTGCCCTTCCTGGATGTGCTCGTCAGACGAAATCTTAACGGTGAACTTGAAACGACGGTTTATAGGAAGGCATCGAGCACCACACAGCTTCTCAGTTTTCACAGCAACCATCCGGTGGCTCACAAAAGAAGCTGTGTGAAGACGCTCTAAAACCGGATCCAAAGTCATTGCAGCAAACCGGAGGACAGAGCACGTGAGGCCCGTTATCTCCGCGACCAGTTTGTGCAAAATGGCTATACGAAGGCATTCATAAGTCGCTGCCTGCGCGGTCGCCACCAGAGAACTCGAAAATCAACGCCAACGACGATATGGCATTCTGTGCCATACATCAAAGACGTTTCAGAAGCGACCGAGCGCATTGCTGCGGAGCTAGGTGTTGGAATTGCACACCGCCCCAAAGCCACCATGCGCAACAGGGTCATGAAAATCAAAGACAGATTAAAACCTGAAGAGCAATCTGGAGTAGTGTATCGCCTTCCGTGCCAAAATTGTCCTTGTAACTACACAGGACAGACTGGACGCATGGTCGGATCGCGCATACACGAACAAAAGCCGGGTGTACGACGAGGCGACGCATTATCACAAGTGACCGCCACACCTACGAAATGGGTCACGAGTTTAACCTCACAGCCGCAAAGATAGTCGCCCACGCCGGAAACAAAACAGGACGGGGATTGGTTGTAGTCTGGGTCTCGGATGAGAACTCGGTCAATCGATTTATCGATCTGGCGCTGGCGTACAGAGTCCTTCGTAGTCATCTCCAGTCATGCGACGTAGGTCGATGATTGGGCCTACGTGCCTTATAGATGCCACTTGTGCTGTTTCCGCCACTATCTCTGACCATGGACTTCTGTACGAGTCTGAAAGCTCAGGATAATAAACGAAGTGTTCCGGTGCTCGACTCTTCTTCTTCACTTGTGTCCTTAATTAAATTGGGGAAGTCGACTTAGATAAAAACCGTTCCATTGATGAAAACAGGTAAAAATGACTGACGTATTCTGCGTTATCGTCATTTCGCCAATATCCTCACTGTTTTATCTGACCAACCCAACGACACCCTTTGTCCTCCAACCTGCTGCTTATGAAGCTGAGGAACAATTTTGGATTTTCGATGACCAGGTCTATATTCAGTGTATGATATCCCTTCCGCGATCTGCAGACATTTGATCTTATCTCGCCCCGCTTGCGGCGAAATTCCTCATAACGTAAAGGTTTTGTGGTTACTATGCACCTTTTAGAAAGTACTTTCTTTCTGTATTTCTCTGCCTCAGGTCTCGCATTTAACATACGAGGCGACTTGCTCGCCGGATTCTGCTAGCGGAAAACCTAAGATGAACATGTTCACTACTAATAGTGACGCATGTCAATTCTTTGTCTCTTATATGTTTATCATGATGTCATACTTCCATATAGTGTCAGTTCTTGTTGCCCTTTTTTGAGCTGCCTCGTGCATGTCTTCTTTTCTTCTTCCCCACTATAATAATTTTGTTTACTTTACAATTCCTGCCAGTCTATCTTGGTTTCCAGATTTTATCTACATTCTCTATCACCCCTTTTCAGTTACTTGTTAACTACAGTTATTGAAGTGATTACTCCTGTCAGAGTTTCTGGAAACTATGCTCCGTCTGGCTGATAGCTTCCCTGTCGAATCACCGGTTTTAGCACTAAAAGCTTGCTGCCGAGTACTCATGCGCTTAAATTAGACTTGCAGCATCTGAATTGAACGAAGAACAGCAATATGCTTCATTCACTGCCAATACCGAGCAAATCTCAAGGGTTTACTTCAATGTCATCGAGTAAACAGATAAACTGGCGTTCCTTGGTTCTAATAGCCCATTAGTTCTGGCGGTAAGATTGGGTAACTGACTGGGACTGACAACAATGAACAAGCTGAAGGCCTTTAAAAAAGCTATCCAGGACGTCCGAGAGGGCAACGAAACCGCTTTAGAGGCAAGCAAAAAGGAACTCGTTTCCATTCCCGAGCTGCCTGAACTAGGTTTGCATATTTGACACTTATTTACTCATGTGTAAATTAGCAACCCTCCAGTTTCTGAAGTCGCTGACTCTCTCCCACAACAAAATTCCAGGTATACTACAGCGGATTCGTAATACTAACATCCAGAAATTCCCCACGAGATCGCTTCTCTTCAGTACTTGGAGCATCTTAATCTTTTTAATAATTGCATATCGGTGGGTGGCCCAACCCAGCATATAATTCATATTTTTGAAAGAATATAACTCCAAAAGTGTGTGAGCTCAGAAATTTACGTTCGCTCATACTCGGTCTGAACAAAATAAATACCCTGCCACGCGGTTTTGGAGCTTTTCCTGCGCTAGAAGTTCTGGATCTCACCTACAACAATTTGAACGAAAACAGCTTACCTGATAACTTTTTCAACCTTGGAACTTTGCGGGCGTTGTACCTATCGGATAATGATTTTGAAAAATTGCCACCAGGGATTGGAAACCTGGCAAATCTCGAAATCGTAAGTCGTAAATTTTGCTAACAAACAGCTTGCATTGCGCGACAATGACCTTCTTTTCTTGCCTCCTGAGATAGGGAAACTTACGCATCTAAAGGAGCTACATTTGCAAGGCAACAGACTCCGCGTTTTACCACCAGAACTAGGTAACGTTTTTTATTTTAAGCTTGTTGGTGAAAGTTATTCTTCAATACCTTGTGAAAACCTGGTAATCTTTTATCGTAAACGTTTGGATATTTATGTTCATGCTTCATTTGTGAGCGTTCGACTCCTAGGAAGTCCACTCCAAATTACGTTTCTCCAGTTTGCTCTTAGTTTTTTTTAATACTTCATTATCCCCTTTCGAAGATAACTTTGTATAGAATGTTCCGAATTGTACCTTGTTTTTACAAAGTACTATTTAATGCAACGCTCCCTTACATAGCTCTTTGCTTTTTTTGTCGTTCATGGGCTGAATGACTGTTAATTTTGGGTGAGGTCACTATCTGATTGCATTATATGGCAGTCCCCAAATGGTCCTGTCGATTTTGCACGTTTAAATAAGTATTTATGATCAAGTGCGGGGTTCTTTTGGCGAGTCTTCGCGGTTTTCTGAGTTCAGGCCCTGACGGCGTGTTTCTTTAGATCATTCATTTGACTGCCAGGCGAACATTCGCACCACATGTAAAGGCGGTCTGATTGCGCTGCGTGAGGTTTTCTAGCTATTGGTTGCGCGTCACTGTCAAATGGATGAAATATGCTGTTCCCTCAGCAGCCAAACCCGCACTTTTTCTGAACGGTCCCGTACAGTTTAAAAGCTTCGTTCCGACCGCATGCAGCCACGCTAAATAACTTGAATTGCACTAGAACCCATGTTATTTGTATCGACAGCGGGCATTATCGTGTTTTCATCGCTTGAATGCTGTTGGAACAGCTGTCAGGGGATCCTATACAGTTTGCGGATCCTATATTGCTTCACTCACCAGAAAAACAAGTTCGCTGCACCCGATGGAGTACCAGAAAACCTCCCCTCTCCCAGTGCATCCTTGTTTGCCGAATTTTATAAAAACTGGAATAAACGGCCTTTCTGCACACCAATGGTTGCTCGATACGCTTTTAGTGTTATTTATCTAGGTTTCGAAGCAGATCTGTAGACCTTAAAGGGCTCCCTTTCGAAGGATAAACTTAGATAATCCAGCTTACTATAGTCGCAGCTTGTCTCAAAGTCACTGCCGGCAGCTCCTAGGAAAGCCGTTGATCAAGCATTCGAATTAAGCTCATCTGGATACGTACACCACATGGCATGGAACCTGCTTTTTCCACGTGTTTTTGTCTCTAGTAATTAGTCAGTTTGTACGGCCTGCGACATGTGCGGGTCCTAAATTCACCACGATTTTCGCGTGTGTCGTGCCCATTCCTACAGACTGCGGCCGTGCGTTTCCTCTATGTCCAGGTGACTTTGGAGGCAAGCGTATAGGTTATCACAGAGCTCCGTGGTGTCCACTGTACTGTGATACGTTGTGACCCTCTTAATCAGGTAGTCCTTCCAAGACACCTGACGACTTGGTGGCACCACCCTTCGATCCCGTCGGCTGTCAACGGTCTAATGGCAACACCAAAACTGCCGGACATCGCCTTAACAATTACATCCCAGTGGGCCCGCATCTAACATATTTGACGGTTAAAACGCCAAATAAATAACCTCTATGGTGAATCTGACGAAGCCACTGGCCCTATTGCTCAGGTTCGTGTGTCGATCGAACAGTTAATCGCTACGCGAGCTTCACGGACGCAGTACGAACCAAGAACGGCACCCATGTAGCGGTCGCATTCTTGCGCCAAACTGTGTAAGCCTACTTACTTCTACAAAGGAAACGGTGGCGTCTAACTTACAGTGTCACTTTTTAGTGTAGGCTCTTCTGGTCACGAAGAGTATATGCTAAACAGAAAACCGCAGTAATTTGTCACTTGTATCAATAATACGAACATACCAATCCACTAAAGCTTTGCTGTAGGCGAGACGGACTAATCCGAACTTGACGCCCACTCGGTATATTAACATCGGAGTGCATAATGCTGTCGGACAAGTATTCGCAAAAATCTTTTTTTGTTAGAGTCGAGCCAATGTCCAGAAACCTATAGTAAACCTCTGCAAGCACTGTTTCTGGATGCTCTTGTTGACGGCCGCGGTGGGGCCAGGTAATTGTTCTCGAAGGACACCGTTTGCTACACTGCTGTCCAGCAATAACAGGATAAAAATTATCGATCCCATGTTATCTAGGCAATCGATCTATTTATCTTGATCTAAAGAGCTTACTAAAGTTCTTGAATTTTTTTAGGAAACCTGAACTTTAGTGGCACCGCGCACGTTGTCAAACTTACAGGAAACTATTGGGTTTCACCCATCGAGGACCAGCTCCAAGTAGGAATCTCGCACGTATTCGACTACATTCGATCAGAGACATACCGATTGTAAGTTTGCCAGTTGCTTTGGAAGCATACCATTATTGAATTTCCAGTCTCACTTACTACAAAAAGCATGAAGAGCAACTTTTGGTCTTCACCAATGACCGTCATTAGTTTCAGTCGTTCCAGACCAGGCTTACCCGTCGGTCCAGCTGCTATCCACTCGGCATGTGCACGAATTGCGGATAGAGGAGCGGCAATTAGCTGAAGTTAGCTGCAAAATAAGCAGGCCCTCAGATTTAACGAGTGACAGTTTGAACGTCGATTCCGACGGTGTCCACCGTGTGTTTCCAAGCAGGGTGGCTCAGGAACGGTGACTAGTGCGTGAATTACTTTGTAGTGATATTGGACTTGCCCAACATCTACCACACACTCTTCCCTCAACTACCGGAGGCCGGGGTCAAGAAAACCGGAGGCGGGGTCAGGCGCACGTGGTTGGCGCGGTGCGAACCTGCGCTAAGGCTTGCCATCACACTCCCATTTGTGGCGTTTGTTATGGGTGCACATCCCCAATAAGGCCTGCCCTTCCCTAATCTGGCCCCCGTGTTGGTTCGTTACAACGTGGCCCGTTGTAGGGGTAGTAGATTTGACGAAAAAACAGTCTCAGACAAGCAGCGACGGTGCTATCCGAGCACGGAGGGCTGAACTTTTGCAAACCGCCACAAAGCCCGGTAGCGGCACTGTGACATGGCGACCAGTAGTCGCCATTAAATTGACTTATGTCCGCCGCCCGAGTGCCTAGGTTAGTCAGTATAAACGTTAGATGAGACATCCCTGGACAAAAAGTGAGCCACTACTGGGAATGCGCCTGCATTCTAAATTTACAGGAAACCTCATGAACATGTCCGATTTAAGTATTCCGATCCATCGTGCGCACCGCAACTAATTCGGTGGTACAGACGAATAGTATACGACCTAAACGACTTAGCCTGGAGCGGACCCTTGATATTGTATGACGGGATGTGCAAACGTTCTCTGTTTCTAACACCCAGAGTCTGACGGCCGGCTGTCCTCACCAGTGCAAATGGATGCGTGCTGCCTGTCTAGAATCCGAGCCCCTACTGAGATTTTACGATAAACCAAGATCCCGGGGGCCAACTCTCATCTCACTTTATGCCATAGCGTTCCGCAGAGACCTTGAGTTTGATGTATTCAGTAGTTAGCGCCGGTTTGTGCACGAAAATCGCCCCTTTTGTCTTAATTGTTGGTCGGAAATCAGCGCATCTTAAGACGAAAAGCCCCATATCTTGGCTTTCAAAGTTCCTATGGTTGTTTGGGTTTGACAAGTTTTGAACAGTCCCCTGCGAACCGGATACATAACGTCGGTTAGTGCCGAATCGATCTCTCGCAGGTGTCCGTGAACGATTGGGACGAGGACGTAGTCCTGCTTTACTTCAATTTTCATCGCGGAGACCTCTGATATGGATAATTTGCTTGTCAAGCCTCTCTTCGTGCAGTCATGAAGTTGCTTAACCATCGGCTCGTACCTTTCGAAATATAAGATCTGTTGCATCGTTTTGATTTTTTTCCTACAGAAATGACAGGCGACCAAGATCGGCATTGTGTTCTACATGCAGGAGTTTATTGGCAGCACCTCGTTAATTTTAGATGGGCGGTTGGAAGACGCCTAAGGTGCCTGACCCAGCGCTCTACAATTTTGTCAGTACTTCCGTTACACCTGAGTTGAGCAGCCGCGTAGTTCCGGTAGATTGAAAGCCGTAGACAACCCCGATTACGATCACGGATCCTAACTCATTGCAGCAGACCAGATGAAAGAGCTCGTGAGGCCCGTTATCTCCTCGACAATTTTGTTCAAAATGGCTATCTGAGGGCATTCATAAGTCGCTGCCTGCGCGGTCGCCCCAGAGGACTCAAACATCGACACCATCAACGATATATCATTCTCCGCCATACATCAAAGACGTTTCAGAAGCGACCGAGCACATTGCTGCGGAGCTAGGTGTTAGAATTGCACACCGCCCCAAAGCCACTATGCACAATAGGGTCTTGAAAATTAAAGACCGGTTAAAGTCTGATAGGCAGTCCGGAGTAGCGTATCGCATCCCGTGTCAAAGCTGCCCTTGTAACTACATAGGCCAGACTGTACGCATGCTCGGGTCGCGCATACACGAACATAAACTGGGTGTGCGACGAGGCGGCGCACTATCACAAGTGACCGCCCACATCTACGAAATGGTTCACGAGTTTAACTTCACAGCCGCAAAGATAGTCGCCCACGCCGGAAACAAAACAGGCCGGGGATTTGTTGTAGTCTGGGCCTCGGATGAGACTCAGCCAATCGACCTATCGACCTGGCGCCAGCGTATAGAGCCCTGCGCAGTCACCTCCAGCCTTGCGCCGTCGGTCGATGACTGGCCCACATGTCCTATAACTGTCGCTTGTTCTGTTGCTGTTACTACCTTTGACGATTTCGAAAGCTCAGGACAATAAACAAAATGTTCCGGTGCTCGACCCCTCTTCTTCTTCTTCTTCACAGTATTTAACCTTGTGGTTGCCGACAGTGGCAGCCAAAGCATCATTTTCACTGTGACAAGGCGGACGTTCATCGATCAGTCAGTACCACACATCCCTTGGTCACCAGCTCATCACGTTGATCAAGCCTCCGAACGAGGACGTAGTCTGGAAGCCACAACTGACACAAGTGACAGCGCATACGCGTCAGCGTTTCCCCGATCATAAGACAGGTGATGATCGTGAGAGGACTGTTCCGAGAAGCCCTGTGGGAGAGGAAGGCGGTAACTGTTGCAGCCGCCGATCCCGTGGCGACCCAACCCTCCGTTCCAGATGGCGACGCGGGAATTGAAGTTACTGTGGCTTGTCAGTCTTTCCGTCTTCGGCACAGTGGCGATAGGGGTGTGTAGGTCTTCGTAGAACTTGTCTTTCACGTCGTCGGAGCTGGTCATTGGAGAGAATGGGCACTAACTGATATGGAGAGTGTGTTTCCACTAAGAGTCAGACGTAGGTTCGAGGTGATCGTTGATCCTCTGCAGCAGACAGGACAGCCCTCTCAGTATGTCGGTCCGGATGGCAATAGCGACACCAGCCTTTGGACGTCGGCTCCGGAAGAAGGTATAGAAAGCAGCCACCTGTAGTTGTCTTTGTTCAAAGAAGCGAATTCCACTGAGGACTGCGATATTCACTTTGTAACTTGCCAGTTTACAGGCGACCAGAGTTGTCTTCCGCTTCGGTCGTTTTCCTGTCCGACTTTTTGGAAGAGAGCGAGCATTTCAGTTTACTATTAAACAGTGCCATCTTGCGAGCCCACGAGTGGCACACAGATGGTGATCTGGTGGTTTTTATCTTGTACAATGTTTCAGCCGCATTTATTGCTTGCTATCTGTGCGTTTTTCTAACTTTCATATGGGACGCTTTTTCTATCTTCCTTGCGAGGAGGGCTACCCATACGTAGGGCTGCTTAGTTGCGGTGGGCTGCTTAGTTGCGGTGGGGAGATGACCTGAATTAACCTAGGCCGATTACGGGATTGTGTGCCGCCAGTATACATTTTTTGCGGCGTGTTAAATGCACGCTCTAGATAGGAATCTCTTTCCACCTTCATACCTGTGACCAGTATCTGTTCCTAACCCCGTATAGTCGAGTCCATTTTCTGTGACTATTTGGCAGTCTGTCTCAGCCTTGCGATTTTCGAATTGCCACTTAATTTCTTCAAATTCCTACTGCTTCAGTCTCCACGACCGTCATATGGCCTCAATGCAGGATGTCCCGCCGAAAACTGACAAGTCCAAGAAGCTCAGCCGAAAGCGCTAGACAGACTGCTTGATTCTGGGAATACGGAGTCTGCTTCCACAATTTCGCTATGTTTCGCAGTGACCTGTTCGTTTTCCTCTTTACATCTAACTTCCTTTTGCGTTTTCCGAACGTTGCCTGGTCCCACCTCCAATTTCATCAGACTCAGCGTAATAGTCGACGCCAATTTTTCAATTTTATTTCTTAACGACAATCAAAAGTCTTTTTACCTCGACTTGATTAGGTTTACAAATATTTGAACTACCTGGCCTCCAGTCTTATGTTTCAGATGCTTTTGCCCAGTTAAGGAAGGTTGAGTGGTGGTTCGCTGCTTGTTACACGCATGTGGTAACTGCCCGAAGTGCGATTGTTACAGTCGTATATTTATAATGAACTACTGCACCGGTGACAGCAGTGGGTCAACTAGGACGCAGATTGTAAGTAGAAGCAATACACCAAGTACCTCATAATCTTGCCCCTTCCGCCTCCAAAGTTGTGATCCAAGCGCTCTTGAGGCGGCTGAACGATTTGTCATCTCATTAAAAATCGCGACGGTCCGAGACCGGATCGTGCTGCCAAGGGTGCACCTGAACCAAGATAATACGCTTAAATGCACTCCGGGGACGATGTGTTAATTTAAGGGAATGATTTTCATGTCGGAGCATTTCGGCCATTACATGAGGCATGTCCTGTGTTCGCATCCCATCGAGACCGCCAAGTTCTTAACAATTTGATCCAATGAAAGTATCATTGAGGTTGTTTGTAAAACAGCAACGCACAAGGTGGCAGACAATTGCTCATACACATTCAGGAATGTTATGTGAATAAACACTTGACCAGACGTGGGAAGACCGGACAATCCGTCACTCCACCCTGGGATTACTACGCGCGGCAGGTTCGTTACCGAAAAAGGAAACGAGGCCAGAATAACCATTTCTGACTTACTTGCCGGTGCCATCGCCATTCGGGTTCAAAGTGTAGATTCTTCCGATCCGGGGACGAGGTATGACCGACTCGCGAGAGCAAATAAGTCGGACTGGCCGGAAAGCCTAACCATGACATCTGATTGAATGATAACAGACAAATTTGCATGCAGATCAAGGGACCTCTATTACATGCACCATGACTGAAAACTACCCTCGACAGAACTTCAGGAATGCCATGGCGTAGCAATTGACCCCCTCGGGATATAACGGCCAGGAAAGGATTATCTCGGTAGGAGTGTGCATGGACCAACCGGCCCGGAAGACCATTTGAGCAGCATTCGAATGTCACCGGACATCCAGAATCCCTACAGACCTCGCAATCATTCACTCTACCAGCGTCGGACCAGTAATAGAGGGCGAGCCAAAGGCCCGATAGGGGCTGCCGTGACCACACGCATTAAACCCTGTACTCAAATATCGCCACACCCATGAAAAACCTACGCGAGTAGTTTCCTTTATGTCGAAAACAGTGACTCACTCTTTACATCTGACCTGTATTAAGAATTCTTCGATTGCGTCCATGCCCTGAGGAATTGCAAGTCCGTTCCAAGGGAAGTTAGGATTTTGGAGCGGTCGTCCTTGGCATTGACTTCAGTGACAGATTTAAGCCAACGATCTCCTCTCTGTGATTAATTGTGCCTTTGGCGGAAGAGATGCCCCTACATTCCTACGCCAGACTGAAGCTGATTGCTGACTGCTAGCGAGCCGACTCGGGCTTAGTTGGCGGTGCTCTCTTGGACATTGAGACGTCATATTAATAATGATCACTAGTATGTATGCCTTGGCGTGTGGCATTTATCTGTGTAATGAGAGAGATAGCTTTGGATGACCTCATTTTATGGGAAGTGCTAAGGAATCATTATTGGAAGCTCCGATATAATAAGTAAAGCAAACTTGAAACGTTCACAACAGACTAGAAGGTGCCCCTTGGAACTAGGACCAGACTGAAATGGGTCCCATCTGTGATTTGTATGGAGAACGTGTGGGACGTCTGCTGAACGGACGTCTTCAAGCGTCAAGTCCCATGCAAATTCGGACTGACATGGGGAGTTAAGCAGGTACCCTTCGCAAGCCAGAGTCAATTGGGCACAAATCCTAGTCACACGCTGTGCGCTAAGGCCGGTACTGTCCGTAAAAACCGTACGAAAAACAGTAAATGACATAGTTCTGACATGCGAATATTCAACCTGAATGCTGAATAGTTGAGCCTCTTCAGTTGAAGCACTAGGAATCCTCCTAGACGCTATGATGATGCGTTGTCAGACATGCGTTCACTCATATTCGACGACGTTCTATGAAGGGCACTTAACCAGGCAGCGGCATTTTGTACTCGGAAGATATTTAGTCAGGAAGCCAGGTGGTCAGGAGTGTTTCTGTTAGTTGGTGTGGTCCCATGCACACTTTCTGTTTTCCTCTTGTCCTGTTTTTCCCACTTCACCCATTCTCGACCTAGTCCTCTTGCCTCCCCTCTCCCCCCTCTTTTGTTTCATTAGACTACCACGGGCCAATTACCTGAGGTGCGTAGTTGCGACCGGTCACAAAGAAGTATTTGAATATAGTCGGCCAACTGCTAATCCTCCCTCTGTGTTGTCAGTAGTTTCTCATTCGTGTCACTTCTGTAAGACCGTTCGCAAATCATGGACCTCGGCATGCTTACCATGGACTTAACCAGCGGTGACAGAGACGGAATACCAGACAAGTCCAGCCTTTGTCGAGGTGTCCCAGTAGTGTTTTGGATTAAAATCCCAAGAAAAGGCCCGCACTAGTTATATCTCGTAATATTCGTCCATTACTGTCTGCGGATTCTCCCACTTTCACTGATTTGAAATCTAAACCCAAGGAATAGTTAGCTACGGCGAGTAGCCGGAGATCGTATGACCTGACCTGCTACCCATACGCAATGGGGGAGTGTCATGGAGAGTGTCGGTGTGTCACAGAAGGCAGAAATGACGTTGCGCCCACGAGTAAGGTGCGATTTCCTTTTCAACCAAAGATGAGAGTTTGCGACTACCACATCGAGAAGTGAGCTGTGCAGTAAAGTGCTAAGCGCTATCACTAAGCCTTTTGTTCCAGTATCCGCGCTTTGCTGTAGGACTGGGGATATTATTCCACCGTCTTGACGCAACCGTGCTTCTAGAGTCAAGGGGCTGGTCGGTATGGTGATTAACATCTAAACAGTGACTGCCGAAAGTCACGAAACAAAGACCGCAAGTTCTTTCAAGTAGAAATGCCTACCTAAGCGGGCTTGGCATACTGGCTGACAGTGAACATATGCTCAAGCTAATACACACATGGCAGGACACTAGCCTCTGATTGAACATCTTTCCACCCAACAACGTAAATCACATCCAATAACACAACTTTACTTAAGCAGTGTATATGCATTTATTTTGGGTGCCGCTATTTAATCAGATTTCCTGGGATATAAGCACAAACGCGCATTTTTTTTTACTAATTTTGATGCGATTACTTTGCCAATCTTTTACTTGAAACTTAACGGCTTTTAAAAGCCTCATCAACAGGGGACTCCTCCGGACGCCGGATTGATTATTCCTCTAAACCAGTGTGTGAATTTTTATTACTTCTGATTTCAGAGTATATAATGTGATCTATTTCTGTAGCAATATTTTACGTGCACAAGGAGGTCCCTCTTCATGGACAAAAGTCCATATGGTTGGGGAAATCACAGCATGCAGCCAGGATATCGTAAGTGTAGGTTAAAACGCGAGTTTTTCAAAAATATAGAAGATGTATTTTCCATCAAGATTGATATATGCAACGAACCTTTTGCATAACAGTGAGGGAATACGAGCCAACTAGGTAATGATTTTTAAAGTACGATTTATGCAGATTGTTGGGAGAATACCAGTCCAAGATTTAACATCCTGCTGTGTGTAAGTTAACATAGGATTGCCAGCTGGTGCTACAACCTCAAACGAGTCAATTTCACAGGTTCTGGGGCACACTGTACATACCAGATAAGTATTCCCGACAAGGACTAGAAAGGCAACTCTTAGATGACAATCGGATATGTGGCGCCACTGAAAAAACGGAATACGAGGACTCCCCTGACGGGAATGCACGTAATAGGAATTTCATGGGCGAAAGAAATGAACCTGACAGATAGCTACTTTCGGGAGGCAAAAAATAAGAAACCTGCATTTAAGCCACTAACACGTCTAAATACACCAATAAGACGCAAAACGAGGTCGCACAATTTGAAATACCGGAAAATAGGAGACGTAAACTGGCGGAGAAATGAAAGCCGAGGGCGTCAGATAGTCCAGGCAACCTGATCCCAGCTCGTGATGATTAGTCACATTAAATGAGAAAGTGGAAAGAGTATATATCCGACTCTCGGGATGTCTGCGACGGAAGAGATGATTGAGCTTGACGACGTTGATACACTAACCCTTAACCCCAAACTTATGTTTAAGGCCTAACCCTAGCCTCTAATCCTGACCGTAGGTCTAACGTCTAACCATAACCTCTTAACGCTAAATGACGCGAACCCCTGTGGTGACACTTGAGGGATGCTTGACGGGGAATATGCGAAAGAGATGCGGGGTGAACTAAGTCTACCCAAATGACACAAGTAGGTACCTCATAGAAATAAATGCTAGGTGAAACCACACACTCGGTCGCCACGCACTTTTAGACCGACAGCAATCGTCAACAAACCTTAACTTGATAAGCGCGTTTACAGGTGCCTATAAAACGTGCGGATTATGAGTTCATGCATCGCTTCCAACGCTGATTACATTTCTCCGAGAGCGTTAAATGGGCAGGACGTATTTTCACGGGTATTTGCTCGAATATTCAGAAAAAACTGTTCTAATATGGATGTATGCTTCATCGGAATATTGGCAGTCATTGATAAGCAGCTAAACCTATTCTTTATGGATATGTTTCTCTCAATTTTTGTTGTGGTTGACGCCCATCCGCTATAAATTTCATTGCGAGGAACGCTAAAGACTAGAGGCGCGTCTCATTAGAAGCCCATGGTCAAACAGTGCTGGCAAAAACGCATGGAAGTGGAATGGGACATAGTGCAAGGCGATGAAAGGATTCCATGGACTTCTACTAAGTGTGGTCAGTCAAGAGTTTTATTGTCACTGATGAAGAGGAAAATACTTCTTTGCTGGCGGGTCGAACATAACGAGGAACTCCAACTCGAAATCTAGTCACCTGGGTACGTTGGGCACTGCACTTACAGATTTGTGCTTGCTGTCGAAGCATAAACAGCAACAGGAATTAGATTTCGACCGTGAAGTTGGAATTCAGCCTGCTTTACAAGTAGCTAGGCTTTGGCCTCAGGATCGACTTCAAGGGTCACCTCGTCACTCAGCGCCGCAGGAGGAATTGCGTTGCCAAAACGATTTATTTCATCCAGGTAGTTCTCCAGGAGCACCGGGTTGACAACCGCCCAGTCCTCCAGCACATCCTAAGCAAAGCGAGGAGGAGGGGGAGGGGAGGAGGTGAAACACCACATCATTACAGGCTTCCACAGACTTATGATAGGGCCTTACCTATGTAAAGCACAAACATGAAAATGCAGACTTGCGTAGTGTGCGGATCGTTACTTGCGCTAACAAAACGTAAATGTGAGCTACAATGGGGACTTTTGATACCTAGGATTCTCACAAAAATACGTGAGAGATGGGAGGTATGAAAAGCAGTGGAGCTCAGTGCGGTCAACCATAGATTTATTACACAGAATCCAAAAACGCGCAGAGCTTAAAACACCGGATTTTTCCCAACAGAACACCGATCCATTAACTTCTGCAGGCAAACATGTTCTGCATGCGTGAAAGAGGTCACGAACAGGCAAGAACCTGCCAGGCCCAGCTCTGTCAAGTTATAATAACCAGCTTTCAGCTGATGCCTGTGCTATCGGTATGATACATCATTCATCTTCATCGAGAAAGGGTTGGCCGGGCTTGCCTCCTAAGTGTTTAGGCCACAATAAAGGAGCCCTGCATCAAAACTTGTGAGGACGGAACCATAATTCGCCGCTATGTTAGTTATGGATACCCTGATACGCAGGACAACTAATAAATGACCATGGCCTTCAGGGCGTTTTCTTCATGAGAGTATCTGGCCTGTCGTTCCAGTCAGGTTGAGTCTGTGGAGAAGTTAAGAAAAGGTTGGGAAATGAGCAGGCAGATTAACCCACCTTTATACACATATTGATAGCCGTCTGCTTATCAGCGTCCATCGGAATGTCCTCAATAGCAGCAAAACACCCGGATGGGTTCATTGTAACGGGAAATGAAAATGCTACACCCCGAGGCACACCATAACAGCCTTGAAATATAAAAAATTGGGAGATGACTATGAACTCCTGAGATTTTCTTGTAAGAATAACTCAGAAATAAAATTAGAAGTCAGCGAGAGATAAACATTCATTTGCTAACTTGTGCTTTCAAGAGATTGCCGACTGCACAATGGATTAAATCTAAATTTTAACCGGACCACTTGTTTGCAGTCCTCAATATATTCAAAGTGATATGACCCTAGAGTTGTGGTCCAATGTTGATATCCTGGATTTCGTGGGGGATAGCGGTTCATTCTAAAGTTACCATGATACATCTAAACGACTGATGAATGAACAGTATTTAAGCATAGGATGGTACCACTGAGTCTGACCATCGGAAATGAGGACCAGAGATTCGAGCATCTCCTCCCTTTCCACCTTTCCGAACAGCCACTGATCAATGAAACTGGCGATGGCACTCGCGTGGCAGTACGCAGCTTGGTAGCGGGCGGGTACCTTCATCTTCTCAACGGCTTCCCGCACAAAGTTTTCTTTCAGCCACTCAGCATCCCATATCAGAGGCTCCGCATCGAGGTTGAACCAGGAGGGACCGATAATTGCATCGTCCTTGCCGTGTCGTCGATAAATACGTGCCCTCGAAATGTCCACGTGGAAACGATGATCAATATTGCCCCAGACAATCAAATCAACAAGATCACAGCAGCGTACACCCAATTTCTTTGCGATCGCGGCCTTCAAACGCCATTCCAGAGGCCTGACAAGGCCGACAATATTTCTGGTTGCCAACTTTCCGCCACAAGCAGTAAACAGGGCCTGCACATCAAAATTTATTGGTGCGGCGACGAGTTCAGCCTTCTCGAAGAGCCTCAAGGAACCGGCCACGAGAACCTTGACATCGGCTGGACAGTGTTGTGCGACATGTAATCCCAGGCGATGTAAGAACACAAAACGCCGCGAAAGCCACGCCTCCCTTGGTTCTAGGACAGCGTAAGAGCTGTTTGCCGTCTGGTAAGATGAACTTCGATGAAAGTGCAGTCGCGGAACTACATCTAGTAAAACAATCAAAGACGCATCTTTGACAGCTGACATTAGAGTATACTCCACATTCACAGACTGGATGCTCGGGCAAGCGCTATCTTCAACTTGGGACTTGACCTCGTCAAGACACGCGGCCTTCGTCGGGTCCTCAGAAAAAAGACGGAGGCTGATCTTGTTCTCCGCCTTAACCTCTTTCCGCAGAGTCAGAAGCATTAAGAGCCGGTGAGCACAGTGGGAGTCGGCACCGATGATAGTAACGATCTTTGGTAAAGGGCGAGAGGGCTTGTATGACAGTGCTAATTCGATGTCCTGTCTTTTGTAGCGCTTGTTGTCTTCCACAAAGCCCATCAACTGCTGCGTTGTAAAAGAGGACTCCTGGTCGTAGTAGGCCTTCGCATACTCCTGGAAGTCTTTAGCGCCGCCAATCAAGGTACTCATGCCGCCGCGATCAACTAGTTCTCTCCAGATTATGGGAGATGGAAGCAAAGGCCACCGATTTTCATGCGCAAGCTGACTGGCAAACTTCTAGAAAATATAACAGTTTAAAGGGAAATACAACTAACTGTCCATTCTTCTGCCTGTAGGACGAGCTTCGAGACTTTGAAATTGGGCAGATTGAAGGCCAGCTTATCCGCAAGCAATTCGACATTGGCATAGCGAGGACATTTTGATGTCCCTGAAAAAAGACTCAAGATTCACGCTAACTGCAAGCACGATGCAGTCTAAGAATGATGCACTGAATGACAAAGAAAGGAGGTAAAAATTACAGGTCAAAATATTCGTCGCGATAACGAATGACTGTTATTACTGAAAACTATTGTGATATGTGAGGGAATCTGTAAAACCAAAGGAAGTACCGCGAAATACATTGTAAATCATGTCCCACGTCTACTACAGCGACTGGAAGACCGTGCAATCATTATCTTCTTAGGAGGCACGTGTTGGGTTCGTCCATCAGGCGACTTTACTGAAGTGGGTTACTCTTCAACTAGAAGTAACGAAAAATCGGTAAAACTCAATCACCGAGAGTATGAATAAAAGTCTTGTGACCGCATGCCCAGAAAATGCACTAGTCAATATAAAGGATAGACTCCCTAGCGATCGTTTTACATTTTGAACCTAATCATACATGCCAAGACCAAACGGCTGCTCGAGATCCAGTGGGAAGTTAGCAGTCGTGACCGGAGAATTAGATTAGCCTTGTCTAATATCTTTTGCCCAAGGTCGTGAATGAGGCTCGATTTTCTGCATTTCGGATGACCGGTCGCAGTTTCTCCGATGTCTTCGGAGCGCATACCTAAACTAAAGAAACGTTCCCATAAATTGCAAGTTGAGGACATTCGAGAAGTGTGCGGACGTTCGTTTTTCGAATTTAATAATCCCAAACGCAGGACTCATGGCAGAAATCGGTCATGCAGCACTGATAGTCAAAAAAGTCGGCATCTTCTACCTGCAATGGTATCGTATCTGACGAATTCCTAAACATCAACACAAACCATCCGCATGCCTGCCTGATAAATTCTGTCGTGACAAATAAGTCTTAGTCATATTATTGATGCAAAAAGATGAAGTTGCCAGAGTTACTAATTGTCCTTATGTCTGGGGTTAGCTTATCCATGTGCCTGAATCCAAAAAAGGGAGATGAGGCAAAGTGCAATAAATACATCGGCATACGTTTCACTGACGTAACTGCAACGATCTTTGTCATCGTCATTCTCAGACCAGCCAGCTGCAGTCCTCAGTCTGTAACCGCCAAGGCATCTTCCTCAGCATAAAACTGAGAATACATAGGGTAGTTGTCTTCCAAAGGCTCTGCTAGAGAGTGGAGACGCAGACAGTGTACGAAAGCTAAGCAAGAGAATTAAGACACATCCATCTCAGCTGCCCCCCGCCCCCGAAAATGTCGAAGGTGAAGTTGCATGAAAGGATACAGGACATCGGAATTCCGGAAAAAACTGGCGTCCTCGGCATTTACGTAAAATGAGGCAGATACAATCGCTCTGGAGCGACCAGGACGCTAGGATGAAGGACGAGCGATTGTCCAAACGCCTACTCAACACCGAAGTCGTCAAGGCGGCTTGCAGACAAGGCGGACAAAAATGTCGCTACGAGGACGTTTCGAGGACCGTCATCGAGCGCACGTAAACCAGCCCGGAGGCTTTGAAACGTGTAGGCCTAATGTACTGCCGTAATGACCGGAACACCAATTTTGATACAAAAACATAAACAACAACTTGACAAAACATGACGATCGTAAGACGCAAATGCTGCGGAAAGACTGTACAAGCATCTAATACCAACCATCATGCCAACGTTATAAAGGGGCACTCTGAACGCAGATCGGCCTAACTGAAAACCTGCGACCCCAGTTCAATGCCAGCGCAACCAATCCACCTTTCATCGCACCAAAAATCACACCGCAAACAAGCATAACCGGTAAGAAAAATCATACGATTCTGCCCACCATTGGTATTCCAACCCTCATGCCCAATCTGTCCTACCTGCAACTGCATATATAAATCACGCATGGGCCTGATAGATCACTTGCGATCCCATCCCACTGAGGCTGGTGAGTCAGTGCCACGCCCACCGCAAGCGAAAAACCACATCCCCATGTAGGACTGTCTGAAATTCTGGAAGATCGCCAATTACTACTTAGACTTAGTGATGCCCATCGTCAGAAGGAAACCCACCTCAGTAAGCTTATAAGAAAGACTGCAACCATGCCTTTTTGTATGTCCGAAGCCAG